ATAAATCAAGATGTAGAAAGCATGCTTAGGGCTAACTCTAGCCCCAAGAGGATGTCTAGCCACTCATGGATGGTGTCCTCCAACCCTCAAGGGCTAACTCCATGGTAGAGATTGCTCCTCTTCTTGGTTGATGGAAGAACTCCAATCTTGTGTCTCTAGCCTCCTCCTTTCTTTTCTTCTTTTCTAAGAATCTCCAAAATTGTGCCTCTATCTACTCTCTGGTATATCAAGTATATCCTCTCAAAAAGTAGCTCATATTCCTTATATAGGTAGGTACCCCTAATTTTAAAAAAGATAGTGTCGGTATTAATTTATTTGTTTTAATTACATTTTTAATTGTTTAATTGATTATTTGACTAATTGTTTATGTGTTTAATTGAATTAAGTGTTACTTGATTAATTGATTATCTGTCTAGGTGTTATTTGTATTATTTGTTTATCTGATTGTGCTTAAATGATATGTTTAATTAATTGTGATTAATTGTAGATTAAATGATTAAATGATTAAATGTTTTATTTTATTTTATTTTATTTTATTTTACGGTTATGGTTAGTAGTAATGGGCCAACCGATTAGGTCACCTGGACTACTTTGATAGGAGGTTTAATAGGTATGGACAATTACTCATGGATAGTTGTTTATGTATATATATAGATATATATGTATATACATATATAAAAGGAAAATAATTTATTAATTACTTTTATGGTTACTTTTGTATTAATATTTAATCTAATGTATATATTTTATATATTTATATAATAAAGGTATACATAGATTTTATACGTATCATGTTTTAAGTTACCTTTTAATATTATGGTAACTTAAGTGTTATTAAATAATCTGTTAATAAATAATTTGATGTATATATTTTATTTATTTAATAAGGATATACATAAATTATATACGTAACATATTTTAAGTTACCTTTTCAATATTTTAATTTTTATTTTCTTTATTAAGTTGACTTGGATTGGGAAAAGGAATAGAGTTATTATTTAGCCTATAAATATATAACTATAGGTTGTAAAAAATGGTTAAAATATATCACATAATATATTTTAGAGAGAGAGAGTTAGAGAGAGAAGGAAGAAGAGGAATGAAGAAGGAAAAGAGAATCTTTAGAGAAGAAAATCAAGGAAGAAGAAGTTAAACTTTCGATCCGAAAGTTTAAGGCAAGTTCTTCTTCTATCTCTCTCCCTTAGATTTGTGTTTCTATACATGCTTAGGAGATTCCAGGATTCTTAAACATATAAAACTAAATAATTATGCATGTTTAATTGGATTAGAACATATGTTTTATTGAATTTGGTTCATATTTGTTCTTGTTATATGAATTGTTAAATTCATGGATTTGATCTGGTTTCTTTATGAATTTTTACATGTTTTAAATAATGTAATTTTCATATATGTGGATTGATGGAACTTAGAAACATGCCTAGGAATCCTTAAACAATAAAGATTGGGTTCACAGTAAAATTCTGGGGTGAATCGTGTAAACAGTGTTTGATTCGTTGATACAGTGCTCGAGCCTTGGAGACAAAGCTCGAGCCATAGAAGAAAAGCTCGAGCCTTGGATGTAAAACTCGAGCCTCGGATGTAAAGCTCGAGCAATGGACAGGAAGCTCGAGCCTTGGACAGAAAACTCGAGCAATTAGGACAAAAGCTCGAGCCTTAACTGGGGAAGTTTCGTAAACAGCGTCAAATTAATTTTAAGTGAATTTTAGGGGTCCTAATCATTAAATAAGGACTAGGTACGAGTTTAAACAAATTCTAATCAGACTTAAATGTAACAATGCATGCTATTTGAATTCTTTAAGGAATGAATGGATTTAATCTTTGTAAATTGTTCTAACAATTGAGATTAAATGTGTGACATAAATTGGATATGTAGAATGCTTACTTGGCTGTATAATAAAATATCAGCATGTTTAAGACTCAGTTTGTGTAGGATATGATATAGGAAGCTTAAATAGATTATAAGTGATTCATATTCTGTGATAGCATGACATTATGTTATTATATTTATTTCTGGATTATTTGATGTATTTCCTTAATCGTTACATCAATTATTGGATTGTGAGGGTGCAGTGCACCAGTATGGGATGGTGGCACTCTAGGGATAGATTAACTTATCAGTTAAGTCCTACCGATTTTGTATAAAGGAATGGATTAACTAAAATATTAAGTTCTACTTATATTCAAGTCAGGTCAGCTGAACAAGTTGAATGACTTATAGAGGATTACATTTTACTGGATAAGATGGTTACTGGATTATATATATATATATATATATATATAATTATATGCCATGATATGAGGTTGAGTCTCAGGATCAGTGGTTAGGATGCATATATCACCACGGATTTGTAGCTAGATATAGTGTAGTTGTGTGCCCTGGAAGGTCTAGGTACTCATGCCCACTATATGTGCATTTTGCATGTTGTCTATTATTCACGTTGAGGTAACCCTATAGTCTAGTGAGGTTCCTTTAGTGTGTGTGTGTGTAAATTTATACGAACTACTAGTTATTGTTGGATTGACTATGATATATACGCGTATCGAATCTCTGCTTGGATTGTAGTAGAGTAGAACTTGTTTGTTGGTTTGACCTACCATTATTGTTTTTAGGTGTTCTTCAGGTGTAGAGGATTGTTTGTGCCAAGCAGGGATCAGTCTGTTTCACTCTTCCGAGTCTACTTAGGAGATTCATTTATGTTTTATCTTTTAGACGTAAATAGTCGTTATGGTTATTTATTCAATTGTAATTTTTTAGGGGTCCACACAGTATGGATTCTCGAGTTGTATATTAGAAGATTTATGGTATCAGAATATTTTATTATTTAATGGAAATTTATTCTGAGGATTTATTGGATTATCATTTTGATGTTCATTTCAGCATTTTTTATTTATTCTTATTTATCCTCTTGTATTTTGTGTTCGGTTATCTTCGATTTGTTTTTGATATCCCTTTGTATTCGGGCGTGGGCCTGGCCAACCCGTATTCGGAAATCCGGGGGTATCACACTTTGCTGCTTTTCGTCCTTGTGGTCGCTAACATTCTTCAACATCCGTTGGATTATTTTTGCCTATGTGCGCTGATCCTTTAACCGAACTTGGTGTCGTTGCTGCATTACTTGATGGAGTTGATGGGTTTGAGTAACTGACAGGTTCACTATCATTAATGTGGATTCCACTCATCTTCTTCGGTTGTTTTTTTGGATGTCAATTCTTTTTGATAATGTAAATGTCATTTATTGTTGCTTTTCAAAATGTTCCAACAATTGTCAAACTTAAATTTGGTGTTATTTTGATGAGAGAACAACTCTTTGGCTGTTATCATCTAAAAAAATAAAAATTAATAATTATTAGAAGACAAATATTTAAAATATCTACCAATTAAATTTAATATAAGAAATAACTTACCTTGTACTCATTGTCTTGCCCGCTGGGGTAATTCCTTTCGATTTGGGCATGCATCCAGAAAATTTGGTAATCATTTGTTGTATGAAGGACCAACGATTCAAACAAGCGTTATGATTTCTTTTAGGTATACCAACACCACTAATGTGTTGCTCAAAATTTTCATGAATTCAGATCCATAACACTGTCTTTTGTTGGTCTGAATCGATGATCGCATCAGTACTAATGGCCATCTAAGCATAACATAAAAGCCTCATCTTCAACCGTGGACCAATTAGGAGGCCGAATAGCCTTTTGCTTTCTAGGAGGTTGGGAGTTACTGGATTGTGGCACTTTATTAGGAATGGGCGAAACTTGAGAAGGTTGATGAGACGGAAATTGAGATTATTCTCCAACAAATTGGGATTCTTCTCCAACAAATAAAAAGGGATCAAAATTATCATTTGATTGGTTGAATTGGGAGTTGTAGTTGTAATATGGTAGTGTCGGATCCATGTAATTGAACTTGAGTAAAAAATATAACTAAAAGATTGAGAAAATGACTTAGTGATTGTACTTGTAGGTTGAAGACTAGAGGTTGATGTGAGGTGAATAATAGTAGGGGTTGATGTATTTATAGAGGAAAAATGAAAGGTTTTTTTTTAAATAAATAAATATATATATAAAATTATTTTAAAAAAAATAAAAAAAATTAGGTTTTTGTGCCAATATAGCCGTTAAGGCACTATTTAGGTCAGCCAAACAGTGCCTAAAACGGCTATATGTCAGTAAGAATATTTTAAAAAGTAATTTAAAAAAAAAACAGTTTTCGTAATTTTTTTTAAAACTTTTTTTGCCCAAAAAAGCCTTTAAGGCACTGTTTGGCTAAGCCAAACAGTGCCTTAACAAAGAGACCAAAAAAAGCCAAAAATATGTTTATTTATTTATTTATTTTTATTTTTTCCTCCAGACAAACATACCATTAGGAATAGTGTTTTGGGCAGAACAAAAAATAAAAACAAAAATGATGCGGGCTCACATGGCAGGCCCACGGCTCGCCAAGAGGGTCACGATTTTCAGCGACCATTCCGTGACCTAATGGGTGGGGCCTAATTTTTGGTGATGCTATTGGAAGAGTCCAATAGGGAAATCCAGCCCAGAATCGCTGAATTTGAGACCATTAGACCTGCTAAGTATTTTATTTATAATTTAAAATTTTGAAGTAAATTGTCCCGTAAATTTTGACTATTTTTATAAAAATTAAAAAATACTCTTAATAAAATTTGTGCATTGTTTTTAATTTTTTTTTTTCATTTTGCTTTAAGAATATTTTAAATATTTCAATCTTTAAATTGAGAAAATGTTGTTATTTGCTCAATTTGAAACATGGAGGGAGGCTTTCTTAATTTTTTTTAGGTTTTTCATATATAATAGTGGTTTTGATTTGAAATTTTTTTTTCTTTCAAATACTGAATTTTAAATAAGAAAAAAAGACTTAATTTTGTTACAAGATAATTTTCAAAATATTGTGTTTGGTCATTTGGGTCATTTCAACCAACAGGACAAACACGCTCTTAAAATTAGCGCGAAAAAGCAGCAAAAATTGAAGCGTCAATTGACAAACACAACCCTAGTCCTACTCTGGAATTGTCTGTGTGTTGTGTTTTAGACTGGGTTCGACAAAAGCGAAGCGTTTCAAATCATCAAATGAAACCCTAGATTGTGGGCATTCGTCATCTTCACCGATCTTCCAGAACCTGCTATCCGCCATTAAAGCTCCTGAGGTACCCCTTTCTCTCTCTCTCGCCTGCACTGAATTGTTTATTTTCTGTTTTTATTTTTTATTTTTATAACCGAGTGGTGGGTAAGACTAGGGTTTCTAGACGTATTTGCTGAATCAGTGACATTTCTTTAATTATATAGGTATGTTGTCATGTTGGGATTTTATAGGAAGCAACCTCCTTTTTGCATAACCTCTTGCATTTTATTATTATTATTTTGTTAAATTTGTGCGAAAAAGGAAGTATGGAAATCATTTTGCACTGTTTCCTAAGAATCACCTTTTTTTTTTTTTTCTTTTTTTTCAATTGTGCTTTGGAAAAAAAATTGGAGAATGCCAAAATTTCCAAATATACAGAAAATGCAGTAAATACACTTTTATTTATTTATTTTGGGTAGAAAATGCAGGAAATTACTTGTAGAGAATGCAGGAAGCAGAAAACTGTTTCTTAATACATATAAACGCGTTTGCGTACCGTATAGCTTGTGATGCATATTTAGTTGTTCTTTCGTTTTTATGAGTAACAAAACAATAGTAATTTAGTAAAGGTATTTTATAATTTCTGTAAACTGGAATTAGAATCATCGAATTCATTGGCAATGAAAATATGACGCATTATGAGTGACAAAACAATAGTAATTTAGTAAAGGTATTTTATAATTTCTGTAAACTGGAATTAGAATCATCGAATTCATTGGCAATGAAAATGTGATGCAGATGTATTTCTGGCGAATGTATTCTTCAGTGAAGAAACTCTTAGAAACAATATGAAGTCTGGATGGATCTTTTGTGCAATTTATTCTGATGAACATGTCCTTATTTCATTTTGTTTTAAGTAGGGTTACCTATTCTAGTTAATTTGATTTGATTTTTAGCATTCTTGTGTTTTAGGGTTTTAATCCACCGCTACTAAAAGGTTTATGTTGTCTGCTTGTTCATTTGTCTTCAAAACCTTTAAAATATGGAGTTGATTCAAATTACTTGGAGATGGAAATTGATAATTGTCAGATCAGCATAACATTTAAAGACATATGCAGTCTCTCTGATATACTCTTTGAAGGACTTGTAAAGAGGTTTGAACAGTTTTTCTCTGCTTTACTTGATGTTTCTGCAAGTCGAGCCAATGGACAAGCTAATTTTCCCCCCTTGTGCATTCAATTAACCAACTTACATATATTTTTTTTGATAAGTAAAAATAACATTAAAAAAAGCGTTCAAAAGGGGAACACGTCCCAATTACAAAAGTGGAACCGGGACTAATGCCCCAAAGAATCCAAGAAAGTAATTAAATCATCATAAGAAGAACAAAAGCTCCTCTTCACATAATTGAAAAGAGAACGAAGAATGTAAAGTTTGACCATTGGTGTAGGCGACTCTTTCCCTTCGAACATTTTGCTATCTCTCTCCTTCCAAATGCACCACCATACACAATGTGGTACAATTCTTCAGAAATCGCGAACATCTCTTCTCACTCGACATCCTCTCCAAACATAAATTAATTCTTTAGTAGATCGTGGCATAACCCAACACATGCCAAACAACCCAACAATAAGATTCCAACAGTCGTTCGCCACAGCGCAATGCAAAAGGAGGTGATCAACGGACTCCTCATCATCCTTGTATAGACAACACCGAAACACTGATTAACAATACAATTGCCCCTTTTTCTCAAGTTATCAATTGTTAGAATCTTTCCCCACATAGCGGTCCAGACGAAGAAAGCCATCCTAGTTGGAGCCATAGACCGCCAAATAGTTTTCCACGGGAAGTCTCGATTCACAAAATTAGACAAACATAAGAATAAGGATCTAACTTCGAAACGACCGTGGGAAGAAGGAACCCAAATCAAAACGTCATTATCTCTGCCAACGCCCTCCTGCCGATACAGAAGATCCAGAAAAACACATACCCCGTCCATCTCCCAATTCTGAAAAGAGTGCCGAAAATGCACATCCAATGTAATCCCGCTGCTATCAAGCCGATAATAGTTAACTACGTAGGCGTGTTTATCAACAGCAATACTGAATAATCTAGGAAATGTACGAGAAAGTGGCTGATCCCCACACCAAAGATCTTCCCAAAACCGAATGCGACGACCATCACGGAGTTTGAATCTGATATGAGCAGAAAAAACATCACATCCCTTTCGAATAGCCTTCCACATCCTTACTCCTCCCACTAGGGTAACCGGACGTGTAGACCAACCTCCAGCCTCTTCCCCAAACCGACAAGAGACTAACCTGCGCCATGGACGATGTCTTTCCCTCCCATATCTCCATAACTATTTACCCAGGAGAGCTTGATTAAAAGGAACTAAACGTCTTATACTAAGTCCACCCAATTTCACAGGCTTACAAACTTCCTCCCATCTGACAAGGTGGTACTTGAACTCATCGCCCTTTCCTCCCGATAGGAAATCCCTTAGAATTTTTTCAATCCTATTTGCAACGGAGCAAGGGATTTGGAACATAGAAAGAAAATAAGTGGGAAGGCTCGATAATGTACTCTTGATAAGAGTAACTTTACCCCCCTTTGACAAGTATTGCTTCTTCATCCTACTAATCTCTTCGCATATCTGTCAATCACGGAATCCCAACTCCCCACTAACCTTGAAGAGACCCCTAGGGGCAAGCCCAAATAAGGAATAGGGAATGAGCTCACTCGGCATCCAAGGACTGCAACTAAAGAGGAAATATCCTGAACATTCCCTACTGGGATAAGCACACTCTTAGCCACATTGACCTTTAGCCTGGAAACTGCCAATGCACACCTCAAGTATCGAAGTTGAAACACATCAGCATCACAGAAAACCAGGGTATCATCTGCAAAGAGTAAATGAGAAATCTCCATCTGATGGACTGAATCTCTACCCACCCTGAATCCCTTTATAAAACCAAGGTCCTCTGCCCTGCGCATAAGTTTGCTTAACCCCTCCATAACAACAAGAAAAAGGAAAGATGACAAAGGATCTCCTTGTCTTATACCCCGAGAGCAACCAAAGAAACCAGCGGGAGAACCATTCACAAGAACTGAAAACTTAACAGACGAAAGACAGGTCTCAATCCACTTCCTCCATTTACTTCTAAACCCCCTTCTTTGTAACAAATAGAGTAGGAAATTCCAATTCATATGATCATATGCTTTCTCAATATCAAGTTTTCATAAAACTCGAGGAATACCACTCCGCAATCTGGAATCCACACATTCGCCACCAATAAGTACTGAATCAAGAATTTGCCGTCCGCCAACAAAAGCATTTTGGGAGTCCGAAATAATCCCATCCATTACTTCCCTCATCCTTAAAGCAAGCACCTTGGCAATAAGTTTGTAAATACAGCCCACCAAACTGATTGGACGAAAATCCTTTATATCTGAAGCGCCTCCCTTCTTTGGGATAAGGGCAATGATGAAGCATTAAGCGACTTCTCAAAAATGCCATAAGAATGAGACTCCTGAAAAGTACCTATTACCTCATTTCTTACAACCGCCCAACTTTCCATCAAAAATCGCATGGTAAAGCCATCAAGCCCCGGAGCTTTGTCCCCATTACAACTTGATAAAGCCTTAAGAACTTCTTCTTCAGTGAAAGGATTTTCAATCCTATCTCTATCTAGCTAAGAAATAGCCTCAAAATGGAGACCATCAAGTTTGGGCCTCCAAACTAAAGGCTCGGTATAAAGCTTCTGATAAAAGGAAGCAATACCGTATGCACCTTTTCCTCTCTCCACAGCTCCTCGCCATCCACCCGAATTCTTCCTATATGATTACTTCTCTTATGAGCGTTAGCTAACCGGTGGAAGAATTTTGTGTTCCGATCTCCTTCCTTTAGCCAAAGAGCCCGACATTTTTATCGCTACGAGATCTCCTCCATACTAGCAATCTCAGCAAGAACCCCCTGACAAGAGGCTCTCCTGGAACGTAGAAATTCCACATCCCCTCCCGCCTCCTCAAGACGATTAATCTCATAAAAATCAGCAAGTACTCTATTCTTCCTCAATTCCAAATTCCCGTAGACATCCTTGTTCCACTGCTTAAGAACAAATTTGAGAGCCCTTAACTTCTTTGTAATTGTGAAACTGGGCGATCCTGAAACAATAACTCCCTCCCACCAAGATTTGACTTTCCCTTAGAAATCTTTGAGAACACAAACCCCCACAATCCAAGACCAAAGGAACATAATCAGAGGTGACCCTTGCTAACATCGCCTGAACAACATCCGGGAATTTCTCTTCCCAATCCCCGGAAATTAAAAATCTGTCTAGTCTTGAAAGAGTGATTGGATCCCTACCATTTGACCAAGTATAGGCTGCACCTTCCATTGGTAAATCAACAAGAAGATGTTGATCAATAAAATCAGAAAATTGATCCATTTCCAAGGATCGTCTTCCCCCTGTAGACCTCTCTGACGGGGACCTAACAGAATTGAAATCCCCTCCCAAGCACCAAGGGAGAGACCACAATCCTTAGACATGGCAAAGCTCCTCCCAAAAGATAGGTCGCTCATCATCAACAACCGGTCCATAGACTCCAGTAAAAACCCATTTGAAGTTGTCCTCTTCCATCTTAAGCACACAAGATACAGAAAATCTCCCCATCTAGACGTCCGTTCGAGTTAACCATCTACTATCCCACATGACTAATATCCCACCCGAAGAACCTATAGCATTCAAGGTCTCTCATTCCACAAACCTTCCTCCCCACAAACTCTTAACCACCCTGTCAGAAATGGATGCCAACTTGGTTTCTTGTAAACAAACAAGCTGGGCACCCCACTTCCTTAAAGCTACCTTCACCACCCTTCTCTTGTTCGGATCATTAAGACCATGAACATTCCATGTAATGATTCGTAGCTTCATTGTAAACCAGATAAGATGATCTCCTCTCCACCCTTCCTGAGACTCTTGCTCCCGGTTCTTCCCCTTTCCTTCGCCACTCCTCCTTTCCCTTCGTAGTTGACTTCAGAAATGAGATTCTTTATCTCCTGTACTCCTTTCCAAGATGACAAAGGCTTCATGTTCATAACTTCATTGATCACTGCAACCTCTCTCCCTTCCACAATTGCTTGAAGGATAGATAATGTCTGATCGTCATTACCTTCTGAAGAGACTCCCAAAAGCTCACTAGTGACTCCAATATTGTCAACTACCCAATCTTTCCCCTTGTCAACAACCTGTTCGTCTGGTCGCACCATAGCCAGTGGTACCTCCTATAGGATTTCAGAACCATTCTCCACCAAGGGTGTAAGCTCATTGGAGCAAATCATCAAACACCTCCTCTTCCAGCTCCCTGTCATTCTCATAAAAAGAATAAGATTCTATAACAAAATCGCCCATCCCAGCGAGTCTACCAGAATCAGTCTCGTCAGCCCCTATATTAGGCAGGCAGTTAAGACCTTTAAGTGCTACACTTAATCAAAGCTCTTTAAGCAAAGCTGCGGCCTCTTCATTGGGCAACTGAAAATGCAGGTCTCTGCCCACACAGACTGTAACCCCTTCAGATAATTTCTTGACTGCACGATCTGTAATTTTCATCTGCCTAGAAACGCCAGACTCATTCTCTTTCTTTCCTTCCGTAATCAGCCCATGCAAAGAATCAGTTCCATTATTCGTGACAGTCAACTCGCACCTCTTCTCCAATTTCGGCTCAACACCAGCACTCCTCAACACACAAGAAGGGGTAGAAGAAGAGGATGGAGCATTAAAATTCTGAGGATGTGAAACTGATGGCATACCTGGAATATTAGTAGAAATCCACTTCTGCTTCTCTTTTCGAGACCATCTAACTCCGTGATGATTTCTGTTAAAGTCCCGAGACGAAGACCTGACAATTCTTCCTTTTGGTTGTAAAGTATCAGAGAGAGATGAAGATGAGATACCTGCACAACATTGAGAATGACGAGAACCCTTCTCAATAGGACCTCCACTAGTCGTAGCGGCACGGTGAATTTTAGAAGATTGCAGAGGTATCATCAAAACGACGCCTCTGTAAGTGGCTAACTCCTTTAGAAATAGGTAGGCTTGGCTTGGAATTGATAAAAGAAACTAACATTTTATTATTGGGCCCCCTCAAAACCTTTCTCTTCAGGTTACTCACATTTGGTCCGTAACATGAATTGGCAATGGGCTGTGGGCTGGGCTTGTTCTTAAAAGAAAGAGGCCCTCGATGAACAGCCCTCTGCATCTCCTGTGGGCCGTGATGAGCAAGCGGCCCATTTGACGAAATAGGCCCGTAACTCGCTTCAGATCCGCGCTTAGGCCCATCAGAATCCGCAGAAAGCCACGATCTCTGCCACGTGGTTGGTATCCGTTAGCGCGGATATTACGAGGGAACGTAAGGCGGTGACTAAGGGCTTGATCGATGGCCCCTCTACGTGCTTCTGGCGCGTGAATAGGCAGTCACCTCTTTCCTTCGACGTCGTGGTAGATCTGTACATTCCGGTGACTACCTTCAGTTGCAGCAGCCGAAATATGTGAACTCTCCCCAACGTCATAGTAAGATTTCGGAAGAATACGAGGTGTTATTTCCTCTATCAAGTTGACCCTGTAAGCCACTCGTTGGTCCTCAACAGAAACGTACTCCGGCATCACTTTTCCGACGGAAACATAGAGGAGAATTCGCTGTCCACACGCCGAGACGTCCACCTCAACACCTTGATATCCACCACATAAGTTCCCAATTGCTTCAAATAACTTGTTACACCAGAGATGGAGGGGCAAACCAAACAAAATCACCCTTTGTATTACTCGTTCTTTTACAGCAGACCAGCCGGCGGCAAAGTACCAAATGTTGATGGATAATAAGGCGTCGCCCCATCTCTTACTCCCTCCATCCAACACCCTTAAGGCCTCAGTCTTCGATGGAAACCTGAACAGGAGCAAATCATCAGGTAAAGGAGAGACTTTCACCCCACATGAAACCTTCCAAGTTTTCAACGCCCACGCCTCAATCCCTTCAAGACACCCCACGTCTCTGTCAAAGCGACCTACCAGACATGATCGCAGTATAGATTCACGCTCCTGGATGCCTTGATGATCAACCCTATAAACCAAATCATTGCCTATAGAGCAGCTTTTGATTTCCCTGTGAAAATTGAGACGTGGTAGGGTCTCAACACTAAGATAGGATCGATGCATATCACGATTCCTTGCCAAAAAATGAAAATCCAGTGACAGACATAAAGTCAAACATAGTCAAACGTTTTGAAAAAACAAGGCAACCAACTTACATATTCAGGAGGAAAAAATAATTAACCGACTTACATGACACATAAGATTGTGAGAATTATTATTATAAATGAATTTTTTTTAGTTTTTCTCAATGAATCATGTTATTGATTTCTCATTTTTCTTTTTTATTTCCTGGGTAAAGGAGCTATTCATTAGACACAACTCACAAGTAAAAGAAAATTTTTAAGACCTTCTGTGGGAATGATGGGACAGTTGTACAAAATTTTGTCATCCAAAAGAAAATCAAGCTGGCTTAATCTATTCATATGTTCATACTCTTTTTATGGGTTCTTATGTTGAGAATGTTGTATGGCTTTCTTTTGGATGGAAAAATATTCTTCCTCTTGATTTTTTTTGGGACTGTTTTCATTTTAGGGATCTTTACATATTATTCTACGAGTTTGGTTTTGTTTCAGAATTATTTTAAAATTGGTCACATTTTTTTTTATGGGTTTATAAATTTTTGTGCTTTCTTCTCCAGTCAGGAATGAACTCGTTGCTGCCTTGCTCAAATTAATGCAGATATTTTTTCTTCAGGTGTTTGCAGATAAGCTTTTGGTGCATGGACGATTAAGAGAATATTTTAAGCTGATTGATTCCGTTTCTTCTTCTAGTAAATTGCTATATACATGCCACAGTTGTCATGGTGATATTGGAAGTGTGATGGAGGTTATCTCTGCTCATTTTTCCCTATCATTTTCTGATGAGCAAGCATTTGGACATTTTCTCGGCAGATAATTTTTGCTGCATGGAAAGGATTATAGATCTTCTGAACTCAGCCTAACTGCAGCCATATCAATGCTTCTCAATCCTATCATGCTTTCTGCACCAAAATTTTTCCAGGCACATCTGATTTCATTGGTTTCGGAAGCAACTGGTATTTGCATGGGTTTGGAAAATATTAGACCAGACCTTAGACTTATGGATTGCTACCTATCAGCATTTGAAAGGTCTGTCATCTTGTACAGGAAGCACATGTCTAGTTTGCAAATGGATAGCCATCCTACAGGTGCTGGAGGTTGTTTTGTGAATTCAAGTATAATTGGGGAAGACATTCAGCCATCTTTTGAGTCTTATATTCAGGAAGTCACTAGAAATAAAGTTAATCATATAATCACCAAGTTAGACACCTCTTGGCATTCACACATATACAACGTGTTTTCGAGAACAAAATCTGATCTGGTAACTTCCTCTATTGCATACATGAAGGATAGCCAATTTGTTCTTGACTTGTCATACAGAGATGATATTTTATCGATCTTAGCCTCCATAACATTAGAATCTCCTTCTGGTGGCACTAATGATACTGCATTAACTACCAATGGGGATACTAGTCCACAAGATATATGTTTTCTTGCTTCTATATTGAAGTTAATGAGCAGTTCCCTGTTACAAGCCATTTGGTGCCTAAGGCATAGTGGCGGGCTGGGTTGTCCGAGAAACTTAAAGAACTTCTCTTCATGTAAGGAATATGATTCTATAGTGGGTATTATCAGTTGTTTTCAACAATTTAACATATGTTTACCAATCCAAAAGTCATTATATGACATTATGGAAAGTCACCCGATACAGCACAAGGAGTCCATAATGATGCTTCTGCATTTTCTAGGCCTGCTATCATTAAGTTTTCATTATGGGCTTGATTTATTGGTGAAGGGCTGCATATTGGCATTAATGACATTGATGAATCTATTTATTTTTGAAGAGGGTAATATAGAGACATTGAAATCATTGATTGCTTCAAGATCAAAATCCTTTTCAATTGTGTTACATACTGATAATGTCCCGGAGGTGTGTTTTCAACCCCTTTGTAACTTATCTAAATACGTTCCTTTTTTTATTTTCATTTTATTTATGTTGTTAAAGTATTGACTTATTATTATGCAGGCTGTGTTGGACCAAAGATCTAGCCGATTAGTTGCATCAAAATCCCAGAAAGTCCAGATGTTTTACTTGAGGTACATGATAGTATTGTGTATATCATATAAGCTAATATATCATATAAGATAATATTAGCCAGAAAAAATAAAAGTTATTCATGTAGGCTGTAACTCTTCAATTTATGTCATATTGTAATCTGTTTGTATGAATCTTAGGAGTAAATTGTTGGTTGTCAACATTCTGCTGAAACTTTTACCTTGGATTTCCTTATACGTTTTTCAGTTTAGACATATTAATTATGACATAAAGTCGATGTAAAAGAACTTAAACTTGATTGGCAATCATAGTCTTGTGGCAGCTTGTGCTCTGTATAGTATATGGCTAATTGGATGTTCATTTTTGTTCTGTTTTCTACTACAATTTTAAGAGTGATACATAAGAAATAAAGAAGAAATATGGAGAGAATTGTGTAAAGGCTTGAATGATATATATCACTCATTCACATCTCTAGTATTTATAGAAAAAAAGAGCACATGATCATATTACAAGAGAGGAAATTAAATCAAATCTAAATAAAATAACAACATATTCTATGGCATATTCTATGCCATTATTCGTGGCTATCAAATCGCTACTAATATGGTAAATCATTCCATAACACTCCCCTTCAAGTTGGTGCAATCTTGCTGACGCTTTTTGTAAGAATGCAAGCTGAGGAGTGCAAAATCAACAATGTCTCCACAGACCATAAACAACTAACCATGTCTCCTCAGATCGTAAACAACCAACTATGTCTCCTTAGATCGTAAATAACCAACCATGTCTCCTCAGACCGTAAACAACCAACCATGTCTCCTGAGACCATTTCCCTTCATGCACATGTTTAAAATATGTAGATAGAAGAATCAACAATGTCTTTTTAGACCATTCTCCTTCATACATATGTTTAAACAACGTAGATGAAAGAATCAACAATGTCTCCTCAGACCATAAAAAACAAAAAAAAAAAAAAAAAAAACAAAAAAAAAACAACCATGTCTCCTCAAACCATTTTTGAATGGGTGGTGTCAAACTTAGCAATGCCCTCATTGAGGTAAGACCACCTGCCTACTCGACACCTCCTGATGGGCGATGTCTCCTTATACTGTTGTCAGGGGCTTATTTGTTACTCCCTTTGTTACTCGACACCACCTGATGGGGATCGTAATATAAATTTTTTTCATAGACTTGCCAATGCTCACAGAAGATGTAATCACATCGGGTGTATCCGGGTCAATGGTTCTGAATTGTGGAGGGAGGACGAGGAGCGCGGGGGAATTGTTTCTTTTTATCAGCAGCTCTACACTGAGACTTTGGATTGGAGACCTACTCTTGATGGTCTTCCTTTTAATTCTATTTCTGCGTTGGATAGTGATAGGATTGAGATTCCATTCATAGAAGAGGAAGTACTTAAGGCACTTTCTAGTTGTAACGGGGACAAAGCTCCAGGCCAGATGGGTTTACTATGCGGTTTCTTAAGGAGAGTTGGGAGGTGGTGCGAGTTGAGGTGATGGGCACCTTTCAGGATTTTTATTCTCATGGCACATTTGAGAAAACTCTGAACGCATCTTTTATTGCTCTTATTCCCAAAAAGGGCGGTGCCTCTGATATTAAGGACTTTCAGCCAATTAGCTTAATTGGATGTTTGTATATGCTTATTGCCAAGGTTCTTGTCTCCGGGATGAGTAATGTTTTGGATGGTCTCATTTCAGAATCACAGAATGATTTTGTTGGTGGGAGGCAGATTTTGGATTATGTTCTTATTGCAGGGGAATGTGTTGACTCTAGATTAAAAAGTGGGTTTCCTGCGGTTTTGTGTAAGCTTGATATTGAGAAAGCTTATGATCATTTTAATTGGAAGTTTGTTCTGTATCTGCTTCGGAGGATGGGGTTTGGTGACAGGTGGATAAAATGGATTGAAACTTGTATCTCGTCAGTTATGTTTTCTGTGCTCGTGAATGGTTCACCTGCGGGTTTTTTTGCTAGCTCGCGTGGTCTGCGACAAGGAGACCCATTATCGTCTTTTCTTTTCCTTATTGTCATGGAAGGTCTAAGCAGATTAATGAGAAAAGCGGAAGATTTGGGTTACATCAGGGGGTTCAGAGTTGGCAGAGATGTTGAACATCAGATGCAGATCTCCCATTTGTTGTTCGCGGATGATACTTTGGTATTTTGTGATGCTGAAGTTTCTCAACTCAGATATCTGAGGTGCATTCTTGCTTGCTTCCAAGCAGTTTCTGGGCTAAAGATTAATGTCGGAAAGAGTGTGTTTGTCCCAGTGGGGGATGTTCCAGATATTTCCTCCTTAGCTGCTGTCCTAGGGTGTGGAGTTGGTGCTTTTCCTCTTCCTTACTTAGGATTGCTTTTGGGAGTTTCTTCTACACGAGTTGGGAATTGGGATCCAGTGATTAATAGATATGAGAAAAGATTAGCAGGATGGAAAAAGCAGTATCTATTTAAGGGGGGGGGAAGTCACACTCATTAAGAGTACTCTCTTATCCCTTCCTACCTATTTTTTATCTTTGTTTCAAATTCTATGCTCTGTTGCTGAAAGGATTGAAAAAATTCAGAGGGATTTTCTTTGGGGTGGAAGGGGAGAGGAGTTGAAGTATCATCTTGTTAATTGGGATCAAGTTTGCCAACCGTTGAGGTTAGGCATTCGAAAAATCGTTCCTTTTAATCGTGCTCTCTTGGGAAAGTGGTTATGGAGATTTGGAAGGGAACGCCATCGTCAGTGGAGAAGAGTTGTCTCGTGTCGTTTTGGTGAGGAGAGTGGGGGTTGGTCATCTCTTCCAGTCACTATTACGGGAGGTGTTGGTGTGTGGAAATTCATTCGGAAGGGCTGGGATGTTTTCTCCACACACATTAGATTCAAAGTTTGTGATGGCAGACATGTTCGTTTTTGGGAGGACCTTTGGTGCGGAGATCAGTTGCTATCTCACTCATTTTCTAGACTTTACAGTATTGCAGCCAAGAAGCATGTCTACGTGATTGATTGTTATCAACTTGATAACAATGGAGTTACGAGGGAAGTGCGGTTTAGGCGGCCCTTTCAGGATTGGGAAATGGAGGAAGCTTTTGTTTTTTTTGGATACGTTGTATAGGCAAAAGGATATTGGCAGAGGGTGTGATGATATTTTGTGGGTTCCTTTAGCTCATGATAGGTTTGGTGTCCGATCCATGTTCTTGTGTTTGTCCAATTTCATTTTTCATGCGTTCCCTTGGAAGTCTGTTTGGTGTTCTAAAGCTCCTCTTCGAATCGCATTCTTCGTTTGGACTGCCACATTGGGAAAGATTTTGACATTGGACAATTTGAGAAAGAGAAGCAACATCATTGTTAATTGGTGCTGTTTATGTAAAGCTGATAGTGAATCCGTGGATCACATTCTTTTGCATTGTCCTGTGGTGTATGATTGTTGGAGTTTTATTTTTTGCATGTTTGGCCTTTTTTGGGTAATGCCTAAACACTCCTCACAATTGATTAACGCTTGGAGAAGGTGTCCTGTTAAAGAACAAGCTCGTGATTATTGGAGGATTGTTCCACATTGTGTCTGGTGGTGTTTGTGGCGTGAGAGAAATAACAGATCCTTTGAAGGAAAAGAATCGTCTTTAGCTAATTTAAAAATTCATATTTTTCGTTCTTTGTTCTGTTTTGTAAGAGGAAATGCATGTTCCTCGATTGATGCTTTCTTTAATCTCTTGGATTCTATTGGTCCTTAGATCTTTGTTCTCCCTGTATTAGGGACGCATTCCCCTTTTGAACGTTTTTCTAATATATTTTTACTTATCACAAAAAAAAAAAACTTAGAAGGGCAAATTAGTAACTTTCTAAAGAGACAAGGCATGTCTCACATGTCCCCTTAAAAATTTTTACTCCCCAAAAGCGACATCTAAATTGGGATAGAGGGAGTATTACTTATATAATGTTGGGGCTTATGTGTAATTTTTGAAACTTGTTATTATCTATTTACTCTATAAAAGTGTATTCTGTTTGTATTTTTTATATTACACTTTTTTGTTATAATAATATATACTTTTCAAATAATTACTAACACCTCTTCTAAAAGTCACCTTTTATTATTTATATACAATTAAATCATTTAATTTATTTTAATAAATAAATGTGACTTTCAAATAACTACTAACACCTCTTCTAAAAGTCACATTTTAACTGCACTAACGCCTCTTCTAAAAGTCACCTTTTAACTGCAAACACCTATTTGTTCAATTTTATTTGTATTTTTTATAAACACTTTTTTGTAATTATAATATATACTTTTCAAATAACTACTAACACCTCTTCTAAAGGTCACCTTTTATCATTTATATACAATTAAATCATTTAATTTATTTTAATAAATAAATGTGACTTTTCAAATAACTACTAACACCTCTTCTAAAATTCACCTTTTAACTACACTAACACCTCTTCTAAAAGTCACCTTTTAACTACAAATACCTGTTTGTTCAACCATATAATATATATATATATATATATGTATCCAACATTCATATCACCCTATATCTCACTCTCTCTATTTCTTTCTATCTCTCTTTGAAAAGAATTTTTTCACAAAAAGTTTGTTAGAGGTTTCTTCTTCCACAAACAATTTCAACGGCTTTGAGAGGAGACTCGTCTTTTGGTTCATGTACATCAAATTACAACTCAAAACCCTTTTAATTTGTTTTTTAAAGGTATGTTTTAATTTGAATAGAAGAGCAATTTATATATTTTATCTTTCTATTTAATCATGTATATATTTATATTGTGTCATACATAATTAGTACATGAGGAGTTATTATATTTTATATGTTCTCCTAATAGTTCAGTTCTGGAGTTCTTTTATTATGATGTGAAAGAAATATGCATGAATATTAAATTTGCTCTGTTTAGAAAAATTACATAGATAAAATATATGAAATATTGTATTTTATATACAATATACATGTTTAAGTATATATAGATGACTGACGCATATAATTATTGATTGAAATGTCAGTTAGTTATCATAGAATTCTTTCACCGAATGAATCATTA